CCCCCCCCATGCCCCACACACTGTGGGGTTGGGACCTGAGGGCAGGGGGCAGTGAGTCGGGAGTGAGGGGCACTGGGTCGGGACTGGCCATTGATGCTTACAAATGGGTCCTGGTGCAAAAAAAGTTGAGATCCACTGATTTAGACCACCTGTTGGTCTAGGCAATGTGGGAACAAGAGATTACCTGGGTCAGGGGCCTGGACTCTGTCCAGAACTATGGATTGCATTGCTTTGAAATGTTTCACACCCAGCTCAGGTTGCAGGTGGGAATGAGTCCGCTGACATAACGGAGCCACCATGCCATTTATCCCGCTGGTCAAGACAGACCGTGGAATGAGAAAGAAGGGATGTAATGCTGGCTTGAAGCACACTCATATTGCTGCTTGAAGAAAGTGCATAGCTCCAGCTGGTTTGACTTCCATGAGCCTGGAAGAGGGATGTAAAAAAAAAAAAAAAAAAAGAAGAATGGTTTGATGTTTTGTCCCTATAATTTACTGTGGTTGCATTTCTTGTCATTCTCTCTCTCTGGACCTTGCAAAAAACCACTGTGATGGTTCTTCCGGGAGTGTGAAGCTGGCAGAGTGTGCTGCGTTGGCTTTTATTTCTCCAACATTAAAAATGTGCAGCCTCCCTTCTGCCTTGCTAGTTGCAAATGTGTTTGGAAGAGCTCTGTTGCTGAGCAGATGTGGTCCCTGGTTTCCATTAGATGGCATCTCTCTGAAACGGTGCTCAAAGGGAAACAATTTTAACTAAAGAGCTTTCAGGTCAGGTTGGTATAAATGAGGTGATTGCCCGATACCTGAAAAAAAGTTACTTTCCCATTAAAGGCATTTAAAATAGACCGGACAGAGCAGTAATGTATCATACAGAGAGGTGGGTTGGAGGACAGACTATGTTAACTCGGTCTTCTCCCATCTCTAATGTCTGCGATTAGTGCCATGTGGTTTTTTCCTAGCCGAAGCGGTGATCTGTGCAGTTTTGTTTGCCAAGCTGCATTCACCCGCAGGAGTTGATGGGAAATGGTGGCAGCGAGATGCCTTATCTCGTGCAAAGCCCAACACAGGACGACCTGTGAGCCTCTTTTGAAGGAGGTATTTGTATAACTGTCATGCAGGGCAGCTTGCAGGGGGGTGACCCAGAGTCTGAAAGAGAGATGCTGCAGAAAGCAAGGATTGAGCTTTGGTGTCTACGGGGACGCTGGTGTGTCTCATGGGGACCCCCATTTCTCTGCAAGCTAGACAGCACATTCCTCTAACACCCTGGCATACAGATGATCTGGTCTAGCGCATTTAAATGCAATTTGATTTAACATCCTCCCAAGTGACTGATAGGAAGTGAGGCCCATCGTTATCCCTGTGAAATATGAATGCCCCGTCCTGCTTCTTTCTAAATAAGCTTAATACAGGGGGAAATGGGTAGGATGCAATTGCTTGTGATGTAATGGGGTTTCCAGCCAATGAATCCCTTGAATACAAATCCAAACGCATGCTTTGAGGACTTTTGGCTCATTTTACCATCCTTTCTAACAGTCGGTAGTTGAACTAGGACGTCTTTATTGTTTGTCACAGATGCATGGATTTCTCCATCACGTAGCTACAATTCGACCTTGGAATCTAAATGTTCCAGTGAATGATATCACTGTGCTTTTCTATTTGAAAATCTGAAATTACATGAATTTTGTCTGGCAGCCGTTTCCACCGGGGGGAAAAAAACATTGGGTGGATTTTTACTCAAGTCTGTTTCCTGACCAGGAAAAGACATAAAGAAGCATCCTTCTATTTGAGCACTGAGCTGCCCAGGACATGGTGGGGAAAGTGCATGTTGCTCGACAGCTTTCGATGCGGTATGAAGCCATGTACTAATCTCCCAGCTGATACCGGTGACTTGTATCTTCACCTCCTTCGTGCTAATCCTCCTCACCCTTTCCCTTTGTGTTCAGATCTCTCTCTGGCCGCATTGTGGGTGGCGTCTGGTGGTTCTTCACCCTGATCATCATCTCCTCCTACACGGCTAACCTAGCTGCCTTCCTGACGGTCGAAAGGATGGTGTCACCAATCGAGAGTGCAGAGGACCTGGCCAAGCAGACAGAGATCGCCTACGGGACCCTGGAAGCTGGGTCAACTAAAGAATTTTTTAGGGTAAGATAAACTGAGGAAGACTTTCGAGCAAAGCATCCAGTCAGCCCCCTCATTGCATTACACAAGGATGCCAGCGCATGTGGTTTGCTGAACACTGTAAATACCCTTGAAATATACAGTAATTACATGCTTCTGCAGATTACTAAGTAATTACACTTAGCAGCTCCAGAAGTAATTACCCTGTGACTCGCAACTCAAGTTTACAGAATAAGTACTATTTGGCTTGCCCTGTAATTAAATGGCACCACTTACCATGTATAAATAAGCTGCCATTACTTACGGCAAGAGCACAGAGAACAGGGCCAGGAAGGACCATCATGTGATGGCTGTCCAGTCTGTCTCCTCCTTTGCGCGTGATTTCGCCCGGCATCCTTTCCATCATCATCTTCCCTAACCGGTTCTCAAACATCTGCAATGGTGAAAAATGTATTGCCTCCCTTGAGGGTCTGCTCTGCCAGATAGTTGCTCTTATGGTTAAAAATGTTTCCTTCTTACCTCGCTTCCAGGCCTTATTTCCCGGACATGCTCCCTCATCCTTGCCTCTTCTGCATCTAAATGTTTCCCTTGTTTCTCCATTGATGATGCTGTATAATCTTTACAGCCTGTGATCATCTCCTGCTACATGAGGAGGTTAAGTTCCCATTTCCTTGTGCTCTCCATGGGGCTGTATAACTTCACACATGGCTTCTTCCTTCCACCTGTGCTTCCTAGGTTCATAGTTTCATAGCTGGTAGGGTGAATGACATACATTTACCCTGAAAGTCCATGCTGTAAGTGCCCAAGAGCTCACTCTGACCCAAAGTCACCCATTAAACCACCTCTAATATAGATATCCTTCCTCAGCAAAGCCAAGCCATAGGCCTCCACTCCAGCCAAACGCGAGTCTCCGCTTCCACCTCCCGTATAACACTTGCTGGGTTTATGTTTTGCCCCGCGTAGCGCTCTAAAATAGCAGTGTTTGAGAAGATGTGGACATACATGAAATCGGCCGAGCCCTCCGTTTTTGTGAGGACCACAGAAGAGGGCATGATCCGGGTGAGAAAGTCGAAAGGGAAGTATGCCTACCTTCTGGAGTCGACGATGAACGAGTACATCGAGCAGCGGAAGCCGTGCGACACAATGAAGGTGGGAGGTAACTTGGATTCCAAAGGCTATGGCATTGCAACGCCAAAGGGGTCTGCACTGAGGTAAGTAGCTTGGATTTGCTTCTCCTTGCTATGTAGCCCAATACGTCAGTGTATCCCCGTGGCTCCACCTTCATTGTCATAGTAATCATGAAAGCTGCGGGGGGTCGGGGAGGCATCAACCCGTCCCAGGGTGCCCAGGGGATTAAACAACGTGGCTTCCATTAAGCAGTGATGGGAGTGACTAATTTCTTCAAGCCCTTCATTTGGAAATTGGCTCCCCACTGATGCGTTGGCCACGGAAGTGGCTGCACTGTGTAAGCCGGCAGGGATGTTGTTGTCTCGTACCCGTTGATTAACTGAGCATTATTTTGAAAGGACGCTCATCCCCGGGGCGTGTGAAATGCACATCTTTGCACTGTGTGGGATGGCCCCGGATTGGCTCCTGGCTGAACCAAGGGGGGTCTCATGGTAGAAGTATTTTGGTGTGTGTCTGCAAAGAAACATGAATGCACAGGGCCGAAATGGAAAATGAAGCGGTTTTCATCCTTGCAATTAAAACAAAATAAGGGAAGAGAGCTCCAGCCTGCCAAGGAGTGAATTTGAATGCAGCTGGCACCTTTCTGTTGAGGCCCATTCCACATTTCTGAGCTCAAACCAGCCATTGTCAAAGGCCCGTGCCAAAAAGCCAGCCTCTACTGGCAAACAAAATATTGTCAAAGACTTCCTTTAAAGAAAAGAGAGCGAAGCCCTTCAAAAAGCACAGAATTCAGATCTTATAAATATGTTTGCAAATCCCCAGGGATATAGAAAGAGCGTTATGGAAAGCAGCTTTTCCCAGTTGCAGGTCTCCATTTAGCCCCCTAAAGCAATGCATAGGCACCGAGAAACCCACCATTGCTTCTTGGGAATGTAGAGAGAAGAAATGACGGTCAGCAACATTTCGATTTTATATGGGGCTTTCTTATTTTCTTTACCTGACAAAGATAGTCTAAGCAGTCCGCCCAGGAAGACACAGTGGACAAATAAAAACAAAATGAGAGGGTTTTGTGGCATTAGGGATGCTAAAAAAAAAAGAGAAACCTGGTCGTCTTATGGTAAGAGTGATTAATAAAACTGGGGCTTTCAATTTAATTCCATTAACACTGTAGTAAGGAAAATGGCCTTTGATCCTGTATGTACTGGGATTTAGTTGTTGTTGGCCAGCAACTGGTGTAGCTACATGGGGCAAAGCCCTGCATCTACCCAAGGAAAGCTATTACTTGCACCCATGAGTTTTTTCTCCCACTTTCAAGCCGCGATGAACATGAACCAATGCAAATAACAGCTTTCCTTCTCAGCATATGCATGTTAGCGCCACGCAGCTCTGCCAGTTGCTGGCGGGTGGCTGAAGGGGGCCAAGCACAGACGAGAGCTCACTCGTGGAGTTAGTCCGGTCCTCCCTCTATTAACAGAGCTTCCCAAGTCACGTCCGTGTCAACCAACCAGCCCTCCATCAAAGGAGGACAAAACTAAGTATAAAAAATATCTATATTGTTAGAGGAAAAACCTGATGGAAAAGAATGTACAGATGGGAAAGGAGGGTAGGGCATAGTCTTTTATCTGAAAGCACCACGGGGCATTAAACACAATGGATCAAATCCAGAGTCCCACCGAAGCCAGTGGGAGGTTTTCCTCGGTAAAGTCTGAGCACAAGCTGAATGAACCGCTTGGGACCTGTGCTGATGGACGAGAAAAGGACTTGCTAAATGAATGGCATCCTGGTGAGTAGGATGCAAAGCAATTAAAAAGATAGGAAAGCTTCCAAGAAAATTGGGAAGCCAAAGGGCTACCGTGTCCTCATTCAACTTCAGGATTCATCCACTCAGATTAGTCGGCTTGTTCTTTTGTTGGCTAGGAAAACATATTCTTTAGGACACCGTTTCTCCCCTGAGAGAATCGGCATGTCTGAATGGGGGGCAGGAGGTCCATAAGGCAGTTTTTCCCTTCAGACGTAGCTCAGGCAATGATGTGCTTTGGGTCCCTCGGAGCAGATGTGGATGCACTGTCCCTGCTTCAGGGGGGCGTCCCAGCTCGCTCGCTCCAACATTTATGTTCTGTCTTGCAAATATGGAAATGAGGATACAGGACTGATGTTCAGAATAACCCCCAACGTGCCCAGTCCAGTCATTTATGGCATGTGAGGAAGCCATTAAAATTGGTCTTAAAAATAATCAACCAAGAAGGAGGAACATTGCCAAAAGTCAGCTCAGTCCTCCTAGCCTAAGCCTCCCTGTAGCAGTCACACTTCCAGAGCACGGTTAGACCTTAAGTGATCGGGAAACAAAGGAAAAATGCTTGATTTTCCATTTGCCCTGTTGGTGCTTCTTTGGAACAGATGCTGTCGGTTTTCTGTCCCACGCTGTTCGTTTTGTTGCGTTGTTGTTGTTGTTTTAATTGTCCAACTTTCAGTAGTTTCTCTACAGTCGTCATGTGGTGTCTGTCTTCACTATGGGGCCCTGCACATGACAGCATGCACCAGGCAAGGTGACACGCAGGATGGTGATATTGTTGATGTTGCACCGTTAACACGGGCTCTTCCCGACGTTTAGTCCTCTACCATCCGCACACAAAAAATCTTTTGACCGAGTTTTGCAGGGCTTAGAGCCAGAACAAGCTTACCTAGTGAGGCACATGGGCTCCCACAGGACCTTCTGCTGGACCTACCCACCTTGAAGTGAAGATGCAGGCAAAGCCACTGGATTGCTACAAGTCCTCCAGTGACCTTCCCACAATCCCCTTTGAAGGGCAGATCAGTTCTGTCATGAGCACAATGGACTGGGGATGAGGCCTAGAGCAACTCGGCACAACAAACCACAAGATATTCCTCAGGTTGCATACGGGCAAGTGCAGAAACAGAAAGGCATAGTCATGTAGGTAGGTCTTTGCAGTGGGGATGATCATACCCAGGTGAGACTAAGACCCAGCTGTTAATCACCCGACTAAGGTGCAGAGGGTAGAAATAGCCTCAGGTATGTAGAGAGCAGGTCCTATTCCTGGCAAGAGAACTTAGGGCCCCTGGTCTTGTTCCCTTTCAAGTCAACAGGAGTTTGGCCATTGGCTTCAGTAGGAGCAGGACCACTTTCAAAAGACGGGACGTTTTCTCATGATTTTCCCAGAAGGGATAGGCATGTCAGGTATGTTCACAGCAAAAGTCCGGTTCATGTTCACAGTAAAAATGGTGGGGTGGAAATCATCATTTTAGCTGAATTTTAAAAAGATAAATTTTATGATACTCCTTATTTGAATTATTTTCCATTAGAGAAGCTTTAATTAGCTGTCATTAATCTTTTAATAGCACATCGGGATAGCGAACGTTAGTGCACACATATAAAAAGCTGCCCCCACAGCTTGGTTTGATAAAGGATGCTACATCCTCCAAGCCAAATGAGGCATCTGCACCATTGCATTGCTCCAAAGTCTTCCTGAAGAAAGAGTGGGAAAGGAGTACAGCTTATTGGTAACCCAAGATATGTTAATACACTGCCAAGACCCGGACAGCCTGTATTGCATTGACAGCACAACCGTATTGACCTGATCATATGCAGTCAGTGCTCAAAAAGCCCATTTAAAAGCCCATGGCTCCTCGGAGGCTCATCAGCGGGGCTATTGGGAGGATTCGCTTACCAGCCAGACCCACGGTATCAGAAAGATGGATATCTGGCTTGAGATGTACATACCAGCTCTCAGTTCTGGGGTGCATAGTTGTCCACAGACTCTTTCTCCTACATTTTGTGTGTGATAGCAGAAAGCATTTGCACCTGGATGTCAGAAAACATCTACAGTCCCTTAATCCCCACAGTAACATAATTGTGTGTGTGTGTGTGTGTGTGTGTGTGTGTGTGTGTGTGTGTATACCTGTTGGGCCCTCTTTTATTTCTTCCAAAACATATTGCTTCTCTTTATGTGTTTTGAGGGCCAGGTGATTGGATTTCAGGCCAGATTTAATCTTTTTTCCTCCTTATTTTCTGCATGGAAGCCACAAGACGGCAAATAAAATGTTTTCAGCAGTCAAAGTTGCACTTGGAGGCCTGCTCCTGATCCCACTCAAGCCACAATAAGGATGTTGACACTGACTTGAATGGGAGCAGGGTGGAAAACCCAGATACAGCCTTCTCCTTGCAATGCATGGAAACCTGCCTCCCAACCCATTCCTTTAGTATGAACAGCCCAGGGCATTTTGCCCCTAGATTAATTTGATTACCCAGCATTCAGAGGGTTGGTCTAGTGCATCTAGGATCAAAACTGTGCCATAAAAGACAGGTGATCAAAACAGAGGAAAGGAAATGAGAGGGGAAAAGAGAGGAAGGTCTAATTCATGTTTTAAGAAGCAATAGAGATGTTATAAGAAAGAAGAAACGGGAAAGCCTGAGTTTGAGAATTGGGGGTGCCCGTCCACGCACTCCGCACCATAATTAGATTGATTAAATGAGATGGATTGATTTAAGCTAATCTAATTAGGTTAATCAAGTCTGATAGGATGTTCTAATCAGAACGCTCCAGCGCGTTGCCGCATCAGGCATATTCAGCGTCCCGCCTTTCAAAATGGCAGCTCTAACTAAAACTCGTCCAACGAGCTTTAGTTAAAGCACCCTGGTGGCCATTTTGGAACGCGGGGCACTGAATACACATGACGCTGCGGCATTTTAATTAGAACCAGGAGCCACTCTAATTAAAACACCCTCCCCCCCACCCTGGAGCACGTGTATAGGCCTTACAGGAAAGCAGGCGCCAGAGGCACCTAAACGGGTGTGTCAGCCTTTCTAAGACTGATGAGCAAATAAAAATGTTCCCTGTCAAAAGTCCACCTAGAATGACACATTTTGGAGAAATGTCCCAGGCAGCTAAATCTTTTATCAAGAAACCTGTCACGGTGAAGTATGGGAGGCTCTGTATACTCCAGACGAACTGGAGTGAGAATCCGTTATTTTAAATGACACCGTTAAATAAAACATATAATGTGTGATACAAAATATCACATTAGTTATCTTTATAGCCAGGAAGTCCACAAAGAATTGACTGTGCTAATTGGCTATGCCTTCACAGAAGTAGCTATTCCTTCGTATCATTGCTTAACAACATCCCTTGCAAATGGTGTGCTAATTAACCTTTATTCTGCTTTGGAAGATTGAAATAATTTTAGTGTTACTTAGAACTGAATGCTTCCCTTGGATACACCCATCTGCTTCCATTGACTACATCTGACGTTATACTTTGACCCTGGTGGTGTTATCTAGAGACAAGGAAATAGTGGGCCAAATTCATCCCTAGAACAGCTGCCAGATGTCTCCTCTTGGACAGGCAAAAAGCCATGAGCATGGCTCTTTGCATTTCAGTCTTTCATGACAAGAGCTCGATTGTTGCCCTTTGGAGTGAAACAGGTTTGATCCCCAAAGAGTCCGCACAGCACCCCGTAGGTCTCAGTCCCATAAAGTAATCCCCATGGCAGGATCTCTGTGGTTCAGGGAATCCCACTGGAGTCAATGAGACCCCACCCTGGTAGAAGGATCTGCCCACCCCCAGGCCTTTTGAGCCATAGGAAGAGTGTTTGCCCCCAGGTGCTTACTGCTCAACTCGGGAACAGTTGTGCAAATGCATCTGAAGGCGGAGTACGTCATGGTGTTGGGTCTGCATGCTACCCAATTTTTGAACCCAGCTTGCTCTTCTTTCTGAATGAAAGCATCTCTCCACCAGCCAAACGGCTAGGGCCTATACCAGAGAGTTTGTCAGTTGAAAGATGCACGTGCAAAACACTGCAAACGTCCATCAGTTCTAGGTGCTCTGAAAAAATATATAGGTACATGCATTTGAATAGTGCAACTGCTATCTTTTCATCCCTCAAATCCTCCTGGGAACATGGCAATGAAACCATTAAGCCTACACCACTATTCATAGCCAACTGCATCTGGAAAAGGTGCGAGGGTTACTGGTCCTGCAAAGCATTTGCATTGTAGACCCAACTGTACTGGAAGCCCTCTGGCAGGCCTGAGTAAGGCTAAATCATAGCAGACTCCAGTGAAATGAGACTGCAGCTACTCAGCTGAGCTAGGCATCACTGCATTGACTTCAGGGGAGCAATGTGCATTTCCACCAGCTGAGGATCTGCCCACCTATTTCCACACGTCCCAATCATACATCAGCTTGAACACATGAAGGTTCTCCTTGAATTGCCTAAATGTTTCTCTTTTCTGTTACTTAATGAGAAATGATTGCTGATTGTGTTGTTTTTATATGTCTTTTGTGATGTGAGAATCACTCAAGAGGGACTGGCGAGCCAGAATCCCCTCCCCCACTCCAAAAGTACCCCAAACCTGACAAATTTTGCACCTATAAACATTATCGTTGTTCTCGAATTGATTTTTTATTTTTTATTTTTTTTTTGTTTGGTTTTTTTTTGGTAAAAACAAAAATCTCTGCTGATGCTTAGAAATATATCTAGCCTGACCTGTCTGTCCCAATTTGACTGCTGTAGAAGAAAGCATAAAACCAGGGGACTGCTATTACTCAAAGCAAAGCCATTCGGTGACATAGTTCCCTACAGCTTCTTCCATGTAGGCAAACTCTCGAGAGGTCCTCGGGAATGAATTTCCTGATTGCAAGGGATTGAAGCATGTGGGGGAAGGCTGGATCAGGGACACTGGTTCACCGATCCCTTGTTGTCACATGACTTGACGAGTGTTCTCCGCTTGTTACTCATCGAGTGTTATCTATTCATTTTAAAGAAACCCAGTAAACCTGGCAGTGTTAAAACTGAACGAGCAGGGGCTTTTGGACAAATTGAAAAACAAATGGTGGTACGACAAGGGCGAATGCGGCAGCGGGGGAGGTGATTCCAAGGTCAGCCCCAGTAAGAACAAACTAGTGGGTATAAACAGCATGGATAGTAACCAGCAACTGCGCTGCCAACACACCTTGCAGTCCAACGCTTAGGGAGAGCAAACGGAACGAACCCAAGAGCAATGAATGCCCCAGCTCTGTAACGACGTGCCCTTTGATTGCTAAACCAAAATGGAAGCAACCAAGAATTAAGTGGGACTAGAGATAAATGCATAGACGCCAACACCTGCATGGTCACGGGGGCTGGTCCCTTCCTTCGGCAGAAGGGAGAGGAAGCGCTTGGTTGCGTCAAGGCTTCTTGAAGGCAACTTCCCTCCTTTCCCCACTTCCCCCCAAAGGCTCTGCTGGATTCTCTTGGGCATGGACATACGGAGGAGACTGAGATACTGTGCAGGGCCCTGCCAATTGTTGATGGCACTGCAGACAGGGAGGGTCTGCTCTCATCCACATTGGCGGGAGCATTGCAAGTATCCGCGGCAGGTGGTTGAGGTTGCTGGTTACTCAAAGTGATATAGTAATACTCATCTTGCTGTGCTGGAGGAAGAGCTGTATGATTATGCCGGGCGGGGGGGATGCTATGCTGGAGGAGGGGCGGGGTGGCTAGATGGAGTATTCAATCGTATCACTTTGTCAATGTATAAACTTGTTCAATGAATGCTGTGAATGAACTGTCTGTGCTGAATAACATAAAATAACATTGGTAATGTTATTTATGTTATTTCCCCCCTGGTTGAAGAGGTCCCGTAAACCTAGCGGTTTTGAAACTCAGTGAGCAAGGCGTCTTAGACAAGCTGAAAAGCAAATGGTGGTACGATAAAGGGGAGTGTGGAAGCAAAGACTCCGGAAGTAAGGTCAGTCACCCCCAAAGAGGTCGGGCATGCCCATAAAACCAATCGAGTGTATATCCCAAGAGCTCTGGCCTTAGCGCTGCCAGGATGGGGAAGCTCGTGCGAGGCTTTTTTTTTTCCAGCGGCTCACCCAAACGCGGAGGGTGCTGAGCAGAGCACTCGTCTTTGAATAATTACTCTTCATTTACATGGTAATTGCTTGGGACCGAAAGGGCAAATTGTCAGAGCCCTGAGCAGGAAAATGAGGCAGTGAGGGCAACCCCCCCCCCCCCCCCCAAAAAAAAACCAAACCTGCTGCATGGCTCAGTGGAGAGAAAAATACTCCTTCACCCACATCATTAGCCCTCCTGCTGTCATCACGGGGCCAGAATCCGGCATGCTGGCCAGAGGGAAGGGCAGTGCTTGGGATCAGCCTTTGTATCGTCCTTGTTTCTGTCCAGCTTCGAGGGATGCTCAAAGGGAACGGTAAAGAGCTTTTTGGAAGAGAGCAGAGGAAACCCCCAATATCCTGACCAGCTGCCATTCTTCCTGCAATAAAATCCTGAGGGCTGTTTCTGAGGTCTTAATGATGACCGTGCTTCACCAGTACAGTCAATGCATTGCTTCACCAGTATAGTGCTTCACCAGTATAGTCAATGCATTGCAAATATTTGACATGCCAATAGCATTCCCAGTCTGTGGGGTTGTTTTTTTTTTGGTGAGACTTCCCTTCTAGTGCTTAATCCAACCATAGGGCTGTTGGAAACGCTTCAAATTTCAGTGTGCGCAAACATTTCCATTTAATTAATAAAAAGGGGGATGTTATCAAAGGCATTTTTGTGCAGTTTGGTTCCCTCGTTTCAGCCCTCTCCGACGGTGCGTGTCTCACCGACTGCATCACGAAGGGCTGTAAAGCACCTTGTGTACGGCAAGAAATACCAAACTCGATTCTGCTCGTCTCTGTGCTATTTCACATCCACAGTCACAACTCTCCCATTGCATGCTACGTAGTGTGGAACAGATCGCGCGCAGTTCAAAATGCTCCTGACCTATGCATTGTGCCTCACCGTCTAACCAAATATTCAATAGTTACCATGTAAGTGAAGAGTAATTACTTTATCATGTACCTTGGACACTGAAGGGATGACACAGCTTCCATAATGCCTTCCCTACAAGCCTGCATGCAGCAGTAGTAGAAGAAAAAAAAAGTAATAGCTATTAAAATACCCTAAAGGAACTGGATATGAAATGGATCCTGTTTAAAAACAAAAAAGGAAATATTTGCAAATGTTTCAATATTATGGGGGGAAAAAATAAATAACGCAGGTCTAGTGCTTCATACCACACAATAGAATAACCAATGAAAGCCAAAGCAGAAGGTTTGGGACACATGGGTTTATGTGGATCCTATGACCTCAATGCAGAACACATGTTATTTACATGTATTTAAAAAAAAAAGCTAAGCACACATTTGAATCGCATGTGACCTAAATGGGATTGGAAAATAAAGTCATGAGAGCTGCTTGAAACCCCATGTGTATAATTCACAGGCACATCCCTTCAAACTAGGTGGGGTTTTAAAGAGAGCAGGGGAGAAGGGATAGTGGATATCCTAAAACTTTACAGGAAGGGACCGGATCACATTCTGTTTCTTAATCAGTCCCAAGCTCAAAGTCTGCAGTTGCAACATACTATTAAATCAGAATATACTAGATCGGTATTAAAATCAACAGACCTGAGTGCCCACCCTCTCGCAGAAGAACAGGACAAGCCCACAGCTTGCAGATGCAATATGCTTTGCTTGTGGGAAACCAGCCCCCTGAGAGACCCCAGATCCTGTTTGCATCTCTGAAAGGCCACAAAACTAAAGAACAACCTCCTCCCCGCCCTGCTCCATTGTTAAATAGCAGACCCCAAATAATTTCAGCCTCACAATATGACGATGCATCCCATCAGACACTTTAAGTGCTTGTCTAGTGATAGAAGGCCAGTGCCCCCAAGTCCCTCGCTCATCGCCCACCCTCTCGGTGCTTCTCTTGCTCTCTTCCTCAGCAGTCTAGGCCAGGTCTGCATGCATGTGTGAGCTGCCAGGGATCACATCCCTCCCGATGCACATGGGCACACACGCACTGGGCAGAACCATCCCCTTTCTGTACATACCATTTACTGAGGAAATCTTGCCATTAGAAGAGTTTAGGTGCAAAAGGCTGAAGGGGGAACCAGTCTCAAGGACTCTGGCTGGAAAGATCACGGGACATGTACAATCTTCAGCATCTCTGGAGTATTTGCTTAAATAAAACATGCTCCTCTGGCTCTTGGAGATGCATTTCAGGAGATGCTACATGCCAGATACATTCCTAAATGTGGCCACTCACCTTCTTACTCCCTGAGCTTCCTTAATATCCCCAGTGAGCCCCAGTCAACGTGTTACTGGGCCAACCCATCGCCCCAGACACAAGCGCTCCTCCCCTTGGGGTAACTTCAGCTCTGATATCCTAGCTCTGCAGCAGGCCTTGACCCTGTGTTGGGCCAAAATTGAACAGGCCTTGGCTTTTAGGAGGCTGCTGCTGCAGATCCTGACCCTCTCTCTTTCCAAAGTCATCCTCTCTCATTTGTACCCAAAGCCCTAATATATTCCCATGGAAAATATTTGCTAGGACCCCCATGCTTTTCAACTCTGCTCACCATCCTCTTATGTCCCACTGTCCCGGGTCTCCCCTAGCATGAGTACACAGGAATCATCATTCAAATGCAGGGTGTAGAGTGGGTGCATTTGCTGGCACTGAGTCAGCGGCACCGTTTCCCTGAGCCGGGATTCCCCCCTTTCCTGGGGAGGATCTTTTGCAAAGCAACAGAAGGGTGAAAAATATTTTTAAAACAAGGCCAGCACAGAGCCATCCTGCCATCACACCCTTGAGGGAAGGTCCCTGCCTCCCCAGGGGAGCTACATCACAGACGACGAAGCTGGGGACGGACACAGGGGGTTTGCCCGTATACGCAGCCTCTGCTGGCAGAGCCACCGTGGCAGACGGAGGGGCTCGGGAGACACCGCCGAAAGGATGCGTGCCCCGTTTCCCAGGATTTGGCTCCACCTTGAGTCTCATGTGCCCTTTCTTTCCTGGAGCTTCCTTTCTATAGACTGAGTTATGCTATTACCAGCCATGGATGTTTTCTATACCTGTCCCCACCATCATGGACATCTTCCCAAGCTAGGCTGTGAAAGCTTTCCCCAGACAAGGCCAGCTAATGCCTGGTGTAAAGGTCATTGCCATCATCGGGGCTCTGGCTGCCGTTCCCTTGCTCTTGGGGCAGCACGTCTTCTCTGCAACCCACGGGGCTCCTAATTATCCACCTTAAGGTCACCGGTTGCTCTGAAGGGATCCAACTGGGCAGAGTGAGGGTGGAGAGTTTCCCTGCTGGGAAGCCAAGAAAATCTCCCTTTATAGACTTCCACAACAGCTGAATAAATACCGACAAACAGGATGACGGACACGGTGTCAGTGGTTGAAAGGAACAGACGGGAAGGTGCCTGGTTGCTCTAGCAACACGACCGAGATGGCTGGGAGGCGGGGGGAAAATGGGCTTTTCTTTTTTCTCTTTGCCTGTCAATCATTCCTTCACCGTAACTCTCTCCCTTGGCAGGAGATGAGCGGTGACATTTACACTCCCACTAACAAGCTGGATGCATGATGGGCACACGCCTTAAGAGAGCAGCTGCTGCAGAGCAGCGGCACAAAAGCCCAAATGGCAAGGAGCAGCGGTTCGGGGAGAGGGCATCGTTCTCTCCAGCATCTCCCGTAGGTTGGGTCCTTTTTCTTCTATTATTATTAGCTTTCAGAAGGCAGAAGCCTGCACTTAAACAGCAGATAAAGCCGCGGCAGGACATGCCTCATTTACAAACCCGCATGTGAGAGCCTGGGACCTCTAAGCCGCTTGGGAGGAGCTGCTGCTGGAAGGTGGCAGTCGCAGCCTGGAGAAACCCTTTCCCATCAGATGCAGAATCCTTCTTGCAAAGGAAAAGATGGGCAGAAAAGAAAAGCAGCCAGTAGACACCTGCATTTCTGGACCTGGCGTCTAGGCACAGGCTTTTGGGGCTCGTCATTGCTGAGTTATCCTGTGAGTTCTTCATGCTGGAGCAGTTAGGAGACCCCTGAGCTTCCCGGCAGTTGTCCCCAGTTGGCTGGGTGCTGTCACTGGATTCCCCCAGCTTTAGGGCCCGACTTTCAGTTCACTCCACGTGCTGTGTTAAAATAACACCGTCACTGAGTAAAACATTGGAGCTGCCAAGCAAATGTTTGGTGGGGGGAGATCTTCCATCACTGTTTGATCAGCATCTAAAATCACAGAATCATAGGAAGGGACTTCAGGCAGTCGCATCTTGTCCACCCCGCTTGCTTAAGGCAGGTTATCCCTATCCAAGCCATCCTATAGAAGTGTGTGTCTAACCTATTCTTGAAACCACACAAGCAGCCTTCATCCACCCCTGCCAGACTCAGTGCTTTAAATCATCCAGAACACCTTCATTTGCCCCAGGTAGAGCAGGGGCGTGAGGGCGCTAAATCCATTAAATCGAGCCAAGCAGTGCATAAACTAGCAGAAGATGTACAGAGAAGTATATTAAGTACTAGCACAGGAGCCCTTTTGCCAGATCCCACTTCCATTAAGCCCGACCGACAGCTGGGCATGACAACGAAGATAAAGAGGAGACTGGGGATACTTGAGCAAGAACGTGGCAGCTTGGCACGAGCCCCTTCCTCCGGCACCTCCCACCCCATTAGAAAGGGTCCTGGAGAGGCATGGGGTTTGACACGTTTTTCATCTGTTTCCTGAGACCTGTTCTTCTGCACTGTCAACTCTTCACTAAAAGCTTCAACTGGTCTGAAGAGCCCATCTTCATGAGTCTGAAGAGCCCATTGCACGCAGCAAAAGCAAGGGCCATTTGTCACAGGATCCACATTTGTCACAAGGCCAATACAGCATCATGAAACAGGGTTGCATGGAGGCCCTCACAGACCCTGGACTCGCTGATAAGCTAAACACAATGCTCATTCCCTGAGGCTGTCTGTTGAAGTAGCGCCAGAAACACAAAAAAAAGAGCATAATCCAGATGAAGAACAAGGGCTCAGGATGGAGCAATTCTTCCTCTCCGGTCCTGGCTCTGCCATCAGCTGGTCGTGTGGCCTGGGTAAACCTCTGTAGCTCAAATTCAGACCTAGGGCAGGTGGGTGCAACTTCCAACCTCTCTGGAGTTGTAGCTGCTAAGCCCAGGACTGAATCTGGCTCTCTGTGACTCAGTTTCCCCCTCTGCAAAACTTGTTACAATACATGCTTACTCCCCATGGGGTGCCAGGAAGATTAATTAGACAGTGCTTCTAGAATCACTATATAAGCACCAAATATAAGTAATTTGGCCTCTAATAGTCCTATTAATTGCAAATCCAATAATTAAGTTAAGTATGCATCAATGGGTCTTAATTACACATGCACTAACTGCCTTATTAAACAGAAATAAAATTTTTAAAAAGCAGAATTATTTTAATGTGTTGCCCAGCAACAGACGTTGCGGGGGAAATAGTCTAGGACTGTGGGAATGAGCATTTCCAAGAGAACAGGTTATTTCAAGAGAGGCATCAGGAACAAGTAAATGTCACCCCGGCAGTGAATGCACCCCGCTTCCCGGTTTAATCAATAATTTAAACGAGACATTTGTGGCCAATGTGTGTCTAAGTCTAAAATGATTTTAAAAGAGCACCCAAACCTTTCCAAAGAGCCGCATTATGGAGAAAGAAATGTTTATTCGGTTGTGTGAGGGAAACATTAGATTGATGAGCTATTGAAATGGCAATTGAGAGGGCTCTTAGACCTGCCATGTGGTCATGCAAAGAGGGCGATGGAGGCGTGCCAATGTGACTGTCTTGTGCTGCGTCTCGTGCGCCGCAGAGCCATGTCGTATTAATTCCGTCGTTCTCCTTCCCACACGTCCCTCTTCCCTTCTCCTCTCTCTCCTAGGACAAGACGAGCGCTTTGAGTCTCAGCAACGTGGCGGGCGTTTTCTATATCCTCATCGGTGGGCTCGGACTGGCCATGCTGGTTGCCTTAATCGAGTTTTGTTACAAGTCCAGGAGTGAATCCAAACGGATGAAGGTGGCAACACATTTCCAGGCCTTTCACACCTTCTCTTTGACAACACCCTGCCTCCTAAGCTGCCTTCGGGGACAGATGCAAGCCAGGCTCGGGGTGGAAACCGTGGGATAGGGTGGAGGAAGCGAACACGCTAGCGGTCGTGTTTAGAAAGGAAAGAATGAGAATGGGTGGAGGGAACTCAGTCGTATATATGCGTGAGTTCGTTAACTGGCCACAATGGACCAGGACCCCAACACAAAGCACAACCATAGCGTCCCTGGCAGTATCGCCAGCTCCGATAGCAAAGCCCCAAGGAAATAGCACAGTGCCCCAAGGTGGGCAGCACCGTGGCAGCCATTTGGAGCCCAGACTCGGCTGTGTTCACCTCCGTTTTGCACTGGTGCAAACAAAAGCATCAGAGCGCAGGTGTGCCAACACAAAACAGGAGCAAATCAGGCCCCGTGGCTCTGCTAAACTGTACCCTGCTGATGTCATTTGCTCTGATGTATTTTTCTGCCTCTTAGGCTAGGAAAAGATGTTGCATTTGTCCCTGGACAAATTGAGCCTGTGTTTGTCCTAGAACAGATAATATCCTGGGACTGGTGTGTACATGCATTGCCCGTCTCTTTGGGATTCAGTAAGCAGTTGATTGCACTGCCACTATTCTGCCGTTGTTTCAATGGTACAATCCCCGGACAACTGTTGTGATGCCCTGGGATAAACTGTTGGTACTTCTTATCCCGTGACCCTTTTTAGGATTTATCCTGGGACAATGGACACAGCTGTCTAAACAATTGCACTTTGTCCTGGGATAAAACGGTTTATTCCAGGGCAAATGCAACGTCTGTTTGTAGCCTTACAGACCAGTTCCTGGAACTGACCGTCGCAGGCAAAACTGAGAACCTTTAGGCTAGGGACACACATTACATGTAAACTGGTTTAAACCTGTAACAGAACAGATGTTCAGTGCACATAAACCAGTTTGAAAATAGTTGAAACCGGTTTGAGATAAACCTGGTTGAATGTAGTATCAGACTTAACTGATTTGGGTCAAACCGGTTTATGCAATGTCTGTCCCAGACCTTAATGTGCAATGAACACATTTCTTCTGAGGAAGATGCTCCGTGCTGTGGTCTCTGGTGACAGGGGCAGGGAGTTTATAGCCATATTGAAGATTAAGGTTGTCCCTTTTAATAAAATTTGCCCTTTTTCCCTCCTGACACTCCTGCCCTGTGATAACAGGGGTCTGGCCTTGATGGTCCAGGAAGACCCATCTAGTCCCATGTCCTCCCAAAGTACCAGGTTGGATTAGATGTGAGGAACCAGGGAATGCATGCATAATTGCCCCACAGAACTTGTGGAATGAGTTTCCTCCTAAATTATATGACGCACACGGGGAGAGGTGCGCAGAGACACTCAAGGATAAAAATCTGGCCTGGTTCCCCAATGAGCTGGTGTAAAATCAGAAGGTATTCCATTTATTTTCTGCCATCTCCTTCTAGCTGCTCATTTTCATGAGCACAAAAAGGAATCCAGGATTAAACAAATAACTGATTATTCCTTTGGTTTCCACACAGCTAATTTCAACACACTTAATGCTTCTTCAGTATGCATAATGCATTTAATCAACTGAAAATGAGTCGTGTTTCTTTCCCTGTTGAGGTTTAGAATATGCCCAAGGCAATGAAAGAAACTCGTTGCATGGGGGGCAGGAGGGAGGCACCGAGTGTATGCATTTAATGTTGCTGAATGCCAAAAATAAATACATAGATTTTAATCGTTGGCTCCATTTTAAAGATCTAGGGCAGAAATACCCTCTAACTGCATGTTAAGTCTGCTGTAAGTTTCCTAAATTTATTCTGACATGACTGCATCATTTCCTGCAGGGCCCCATGTCATTATTGCAACCTATCCCAATAAGCAGTTTACAGTCTCCAAGACCAAACCAACCCTTGGCTTTACTCTTCCGCTTCCTGCTGGCCATTAGTGCTGTTACCACCATCCTGAAATGTCCCGCCGCTCGCTGTGAGCTGGCTCCGCAACTCGTCCTCTGTTGAGTTGCATCTTCCTCCATAAGAGACCGTTGGTTTCCACCTGCAATTATTTATATGCCTCAGTCCTCCATGCCAATGCTGGGTGATTTACTGAAATGTCCATCACACCATTATTATTCCAGCACGTTTATCTCGGTATTGAATAGCTTTTCCATAACAAGAGCAACGGGGTTTTTTTTGGTTTAGCTGAATCTCTTCAGGTCATTCCATAATGGCAATGTGGTAAAAATGTCTTAGTGTGGACAAGTCCTTGGGTTTTGTTTCAGTTGGGAAGATGAGATGTGATTTCCTAACCCTAAGCCTATTGCCCCACTGGAGATAAAGATGTAGTTACCTTTAGCCGTATGAGTAAAATTGTGCACGTGCTTAAGCGTTTGCAGGTCAGGCCCTGAAATAACACCATGCATTTATTTGGTCCAAACTCACCTAGAAACCCAATACTTTCTGCACATAACAGAGTAGCTCTGTAGCTCAAAATGGTCCCAAGTTGTTTAACCTAGAACCGGGGAGGTATGTAGGCCAGTTGAATCGATGCAGAGAAGCAAGAGCCTTGATGGAGCTTGAGCATGTAGGGATGCTAAAAAAAAAGGGGCGGTGTTTTATACGGTGACTTTCCAGGCATTGCTAAGGACAGGGGGAGACCCCCCCGTCCTCCCTAAAAAGGGTTTTTGTTTGATCCCACAGCAATCGATTAATGAAGCCATAAGGACATCGACACTTCCCAGACCGGCCACAGCAGGAGCCAGCGGAGAGAACGGACGGGTGGTCAGCCACGATTTCCCCAAATCCATGCAGACAATTCCGTGCATGAGTCACAGCACCGGGATGCCCCTGGGAGCCACAGGATTATAATCGGCCTTGACACGTCACCCGGGTGTGAGCAGGGTCACCCCCGCCCCACCCCCCTCCAGTGCCAAAAACCAATCCAAACCGAGAAACACGATGACGACGATGAACAAAAGGGACAATTCAATGGATCTTCCTGAGGAAATTGAATCTATTTTCCTTTTTGTTTTCCAATAGATCCACAGGCAGGAGAGTTAAACACAGTCTGCGCCGCAATAAGGAGAGCGTAATGGGATTTAACAGACTCACAAACCGTCCCTGGATCGCAGAGCCGCTGGAAAACTAATGAGGACCGTGCCATTTTGTTTTAACTTGGTTGTTAATAAGTCTTAGTGTGTGCAATTCCACCTGCAATTATTTATATGCCTCAGTCCTCCATGCCAATGCTGGGTGATTTACTGAAATGTCCATCACACCATTATTATTCCAGCACGTTTATCTCGGTATTGAATAGCTTTTCCATAACAAGAGCAACGGGGTTTTTTTTGGTTTAGCTGAATCTCTTCAGGTCATTCCATAATGGCAATGTGGTAAAAATGTCTTAGTGTGGACAAGTCCTTGGGTTTTGTTTCAGTTGGGAAGATGAGATGTGATTTCCTAACCCTAAGCCTATTGCCCCACTGGAGATAAAGATGTAGTTACCTTTAGCCGTATGAGTAAAATTGTGCACGTGCTTAAGCGTTTGCAGGTCAGGCCCTGAAATAACACCATGCATTTATTTGGTCCAAACTCACCTAGAAACCCAATACTTTCTGCACATAACAGAGTAGCTCTGTAGCTCAAAATGGTCCCAAGTTGTTTAACCTAGAACCGGGGAGGTATGTAGGCCAGTTGAATCGATGCAGAGAAGCAAGAGCCTTGATGGAGCTTGAGCATGTAGGGATGCTAAAAAAAAAGGGGCGGTGTTTTATACGGTGACTTTCCAGGCATTGCTAAGGACAGGGGGAGACCCCCCCGTCCTCCCTAAAAAGGGTTTTTGTTTGATCCCACAGCAATCGATTAATGAAGCCATAAGGACATCGACACTTCCCAGACCGGCCACAGCAGGAGCCAGCGGAGAGAACGGACGGGTGGTCAGCCACGATTTCCCCAAATCCATGCAGACAATTACGTGCATGAGTCACAGCACCGGGATGCCCCTGGGAGCCACAGGATTATAATCGGCCTTGACACGTCACCCGGGTGTGAGCAGGGTCACCCCCGCCCCACCCCCCTCCAGTGCCAAAAACCAATCCAAACCGAGAAACACGATGACGACGATGAACAAAAGGGACAATTCAATGGATCTTCCTGAGGAAATTGAATCTATTTTCCTTTTTGTTTTCCAATAGATCCACAGGCAGGAGAGTTAAACACAGTCTGCGCCGCAATAAGGAGAGCGTAATGGGATTTAACAGACTCACAAACCGTCCCTGGATCGCAGAGCCGCTGGAAAACTAATGAGGACCGTGCCATTTTGTTTTAACTTGGTTGTTAATAAGTCTTAGTGTGTGCAATATATATATATATATACATATATATATATTTTTTCTTACTAATTCCTGTGGTGTCAGGATGACATCAGGCCGCCCTCCCCGCCCCCACCCCTCCCCACACAGCCTTTTAATCAGGTTTAGTTTGAGATGCAAACCTAACGTTTGAGCTACTAACAGCAAAAGGGAAAATGAAATAAAAAAGGCGAACCTACCGCCCCAATGGGCACCAGCGGCCAGCCCTTGGATTCATCAGGAGCCAGCTGTGTGTCCGTCAAGACCCTGAGGGCAGAGTTTACTGCAACCGGTCAAGCAGTCATGTGGAGGGCTCCGGCCAGTCTTCCTGCACAAGGCAGGACTCTCGAGATGAGCCAACACCCACATGGCAACACACATTGACTTTGCAGGAACAAGGAGTGGAGGGAAGTTGGAAACAGAGGCGAGAGCACCCAGGTAACCCTGGTCCAATGTGATACGTATTGCATAAGAGATGGCAAATGACGGCTCCAGGGAAATCGAGGCACGATTGCATACGTGTTCTGGGACTGGAGAAACCCAGCGTTTGGCAGCTGAGCCAACAGTGGACTGAGATCATGACAGACGGCTGCGTACGGAGGACAGGAACCAAACACAATATTGATCACACATGCAACCCTCTGCCTACATTATCCAGGGCTAATTGGCAATTGTGAGCCATTTCCTCATTGCTTTGCTTCTATATGTGCTCCTTCGTGGATGGCTGCTGACGGGGGAACCACCAAGAGCCTGGAGTAAAACAGTCCTCACCAGTACAGGGGTGCTGGAAACGTGAGGCTGCGCTCGGGACATTTCCGGATTTAGGCTCTGACATCCCCTTCGGACTAACTTTGCATTCAAAGGGGACTCTTCGCGGCTAAACAATCAAGCCAGATTTCTGGGAAGAACCTGCATCTCCCTGAATCAAACCGCATGGATGGGGTGTCCCATAGGACCTTCGCACCCACTTCCATGGTATTGGGTTGATGTTGGGCCTGTTAAACTCAGCTCTGGGCCAACGGGTTGGCGGAGAAGCCAAGAGCAGTGAGTTCTGGCTCATTCCTCCTCGACAAGGAAGCAGGACTCACCAGGCACATCGCTCTCCGCTTGGTCCAGGAACGCCTGTCCAAAACCCAGTGCAAAGCCAGCTGCTGGCAATGTTGCCCCAGTAGCTAATTGTCTTATTCTCTTTCTTTTTTTTTTGTTTCCTTTTTTTGGTTTCTGTCTAACCAGAAGATTCATTTTGTGAAGCCACCAGCATGGATAGCAGAACGCTCTGTGTTTGGGGGGGGCTGGGGAAATGCACCGTTTTAAAGGGAATATCAAGGAAGATGGAAGATCTTCCATGGATGGAGCTGGACTGGTCTCAGTGGGGGCAGATGGCAGCACAAGGAGCAATGGGCTCAAGTGGCAGCAAGGGAGGTTTAGGTTGGATATTAGGAAAAATTTTACCGCTAGGAGGGTGGTAAAGCACTGGAACAGGTTACCCAGAGCAGTGGTGGACTCTCCATCCTTGGAGGTGTTTAAGACCCGGGTGGACAAAGCCTTGGCTGGGATGCTGTAGTTGGGGCTGGTCCTGCTTGGAGCAGGGGGTTGCTCTAGATGTGACCTCCCGAGGTCTCTTCCCACCCTCATTGTCTACAAGGCAGTGAAGCTGTGGCTTCCAGTTTTTTGAAGTGGGTTGAAGCTTCTTCTCCGCAATCCCACTGAGACCCCAGCACAGGGAAAAGGGGCTGATCTCAAAGGGTTAGGAGTTGCTATATTTTTTAACGTTGCAGGGCATGCAACATGGCAAGCGAGTGATAGAGGGGAGCTGTGGGGTACGTGAGAAAGAGAGATGTTGATGGCAAAGTGACAGGCAGATAACTCGAGCAGGCTTGCAGGGAGGGTTTCCCCACATGGCTTTTCAGAAGCATGACCGCCCGCCGGCTACAAACCCATCGTCTTCGGTGCATGACCCACAGCGAGGTGCCTCGCGCCGGCAGCCCTCAGTGACTGAGCCGCCCTGACTGCTCTGCACCACTGACCTATTTGCACCCCATCTCTTGTCTCCACTCATCCTGGGGCCATATGGGCAAGCCCAGCAAGTCCAAGACTCCAGGTCCCTCACGAGGGCATCTGGTGCCCTTGTGTTTTCTCTCTCTGCCACTGCGAATGCTTGCATTCGCCATCTTGCCTTCACAAGAGCATTTCCAAGAGCCATAACCCCTCCATGCCACCTCCTCCATGTTCATGATTGTTTTGAATTTGCTTTGTTTGTAATTGGGTTTTTTTCTTTGGTCCTGCGTGGCCACGGGATTAGGACAGGCTTCGGGGTTGCACGCCTGCTCCTTGCTCCGGGGCTCCCCCGGTAGAGTCTGTTGCCTGGACTCTTCTCATCCGTTATGTCACCACTGCACATTGCCATGGGAGCAGGCTGCAGACCCCCTCTTTTTGGTGGAATTGGGTATTAGCCCCCATCGACCTTCTAGGCCCCTGTTGCCTTTGCAGCAGGGCATCGAAGGAGCCCTTCCCAGCACGTGAACTGGCCGGGACAGCCTTGCGGGAGAGAGCGTGCTGCGTGAGGACCGAACACCCGGGACAAAGGCAGGAACCGCAGTCTGAAAAGGCGTCTGATGGAGGAAAGGGGGTGAAGAGAGAGGAAAAAAAAAGACAGAATGAGAGGAAAGCGCGAGGGGGGAAAAAATGTTAACTTGTAATATGTATTTTTACTACACTTTTCTTAAAAATAGAATAATGGCAAAACTCTGAAAGACATTGACATTTTTTCTCAACAGGAATCCACATTTAACAGTTTCGGCTTTCATTAAATTTTGCTCTTTGGTACCTGGATCTTTTATTTAACAGCTATATTTGTTTTAACTCTCTCGCTCTCTCTCTCCCTTTTCCCACCTCCCCCAGCAAAGCTGCGAAGGATTTTGCATGAGCAAACACAGAAACATTTTTCTGTCCTGGCTCTCATTTTCAAATGGTTATTTATTCATTTTTTTATTTACATAAACATGAAAAAAAAATGACCAGCTGGAAATGAAGTACCGAGGATCCATTTTTCATACCTGCCCGTGCTGTTTTGTGCCAGTGCTGGCGATGTGCAATGAAAATCCTGCGACTCCGGAGGCAATATTACCAACCTGAATCAAACGAGATTTTTCTTGATTATTGCTGTGTCTGACTTGTGAGCAGCAGTCAAATAAACTGCTTCAGGTTGAAACGGGTAATCCCTCGACTGTTCGCCAAGGGTGAAGAAACAAAATCTTTCGGTGGAGCCAGAGCAGAGGCCAAAGGTTTTGTTGTTTGTCTGGAGTTTGTCCGGGGATGGGATAAGGGGATTTTATGATGCCGGGTTAAAGAGAGGGGAACGGTCGGCTCGCAGCCAAACCAGCACTGGTCCAAAAATGCTCCCCCACCTTGGAGATGTCATTGTAGGTGTCGCACAGGCTGCAACATTTCAGCTCCTCGTTTTTCATCCATCAGCCCGTGGAAGTCTTTGTCAGCAGAGATCGCTGCTGCAGCATTGGG